CCTGGTAGGTGGTAGGGGTGGAAGACACAGAAAAATATAATGACCAGACAAGCTGCCTAGACATGGCTTCCTGCGAGGGAGGACCATGAGTTGGCCTTTACATCACCTGCTTTCCTGATTCAAAGAAACTTTCCCCCAGCAAGACTGGGCCCAGGAGCTCCATTTTCCAATCTCTTCTCTTCCTGGGCATTTAGGAAAGGGTGTATGGTTCTCCAGCTTTCAAGACATTGAAGACAGTATGGAGAAAAAGGGAAGGATGTTATAGCCCTTTGTTTCAATGCCTTCCCCAGCTCTTGCCCTCAGGATTTGTTGATGCTGCAGATAGGAACCCCATGGAACTGGGGCAGCTTAGGCAGCAATAAGCTGAACAATGAGGCTGTATTGATGAGGAAGGAAGCAGCATCACACCTGGCTTGGAAGCTGTCAGGAGGTAGAGTGCCACAGGAGAGATGCTAAGGAACTTTCAGGCAGAGGTGCCTGGAGCCTGTAGTCCATCTGCTCCCAGTGTGTCAGTAGTCAAGCCTTTCGTTGTTAACGGGGTCTCAAAGGACGTTCCTTTCCCCATATGCAGGAAGTACATAGCCTGCCAGCTTCAGAAGCCTGTCCAGCTAGAGGTGGGGTGCTCACTTCCACACCTGTAGGTGTTTGTCCAAGAGTCAACCTGAGATTCAAACCCAAGGCCTTCTAGGGCCAAAACAAGTAAGCAAGTAGCAGCCCGGGAAGTCAAACTAAGATCTGCGAGGTTCCAAAATGCCAGCTCCTTGCTTCTTCCTTTCTCAGCCTACCAACATAACTGCTTGGAGAAGCCTGCACCAAATCACGTGTTTGCCAGTCCCCACTGTCTCATTCCAATGCTGCGTTGCCCCTGGGATAGAGCAAGTCTTCCTTTGCTCCCTGTAGCTGTTAGGGCCAGGTAGAGACAGAGGGCAGGTGTGGGTGGGATGGAGCAGGTGGCTTTCTGGAGCTTATTTTTCCCTTTAAAGCTGTCCTAATTGCTATTTTAATCAGATTTCATATTCCTATAAATCTAAGGTGGAGGTTGGGGAGAAAAGAGACGAAGGTATGGTGAGATGTCTACTGAACTTGCTCCTGCCAGGGCCCCTCCCCATATACTCTCAACGAAAGTTGCAGGTGAGTCTCCCATGCTGGGAGTCGGAGTCCGGCAGAGCCTCAGGCAGCAGGGAGCTTTAGCAGTTAGAAAGAGCACATTCGCAGAACCCCGGTGACCCGCAGCTGCTGGCCTCCTGGAAGCTTCCTTTGTTGCTCTTGGTTGGAAGACTGTTGTTATTATGCTCTTTTAACTACATTCACAGAGTCTAGGATTGGGTTAGAGAAAGGATGAGGGGGCAGGTGGGAGGAAAGAGGCTGAATGAGTGCTGGGAAGCGAGGCATCTGAAGGGACTGCCTTCATGGTCATGTCTAGTCTGATATTCAGAGCATTATTGATTTTTTCTTCCAAAAATTACAAGTATTTTATTTTCAGCATCTTTTGCTAATTCTTCCTAATTATAATGTGCTGTTATTTTACAGCCACCCATTCTCATTTTGTGGATGTGATTCTCTACTTTAGTTTTCTGAGCACAAGAAATCAACTTTGGCTGCACATTGGAATATCTGAGAAGTTTAAAAATACTGATGTTTGGGCCAGGTACGGTGGCTCACGCCTGTAATCCTAGCACTTTGGGAGGCTGAGGCAGGCAGATCATGAGGTCAGGAGGTTGAGAGCATCCTAGCCAACGTGGTGAAACCCCGTCTCTACTAAAAATACAAAAATTAGCTGGGTATGGTGGCAGGTGCCTGTAATCCCAGCTACTCGGGTGGCTGAGTTACGAGAATCACTTGAACCTTTGCTTCCGCTCCTCCTGTCCTTGGACATCAGACTCCAGGTTCTCCAGCCCTTGGACTCTGGAACTTACTTTAGTGGCCTTCTGAGGGGTCTCAGGCCTTTGGCTACAGACTGAGGGCTGCACTGTTGGCTTCCTGCTTTTGAAGCTTTTGGACTTGAAATTCTGATTTCACTGGTCAACAGTTAGGTCTAGGGAATATCTGTTCTGGGGAGTAGTGAGCAATGAACCCTGAAAAGCTCTGTGACATTATGATATAATAAAACATATATGTGGTTTTCCTCCCCAGTCCCTGGCACAGAACTCCTAAAACCCTTGTAATTTCCTGAGTGGCAGGGATGCAAGGTACATCATTTGTTCTAATATTTGGTCTTGGACTCTGGTTCCTGACAAAGAGCTCCTAAATCCTTGGGAATTTCCTCGGTACTAGAAGGGTCATTTGTTCTATTAATAATTAGGCAACTCTTGGGGGGCTCCTGGATAGCTTTGGGATGGGAACTGGTCAGCAGAAAGACCAAGCCATGATTAGAAGCTTGGAACATTCAGTCCCATTCCCTGTTCTCCCCAGGAAGGGGAGCAGAGCTGGAGATTGAGTTAATAACCCATCATGCCGATGTGATGAAGCTTCCATAAGACTACAAGGCTCAGAGAGCTTCTAGGTTGGTGAACACATCTGCGTGCTAGAAGGGTGGTGCACCCCAATTCTTGCCCTCAGGACATGTTTGGACTCACTCTGTGTACCTCTTCATCTGGCTGTTCATCTGTATTCTCTATCATATCCTTTATAATAAACTGGTAAACAGGCCAAGCATGGTGGCTCATGCCTGTAATCCCAACACTTTGGGAGGCCAAGGTGGGAGGATCACTTGAGTTCTGGCAACACAATGAGACCCCATCTCCATGAAAAATAAAAACTTAGCCAGGCTTGGAGGTGCACACCTATAGTCCAGGTACTTGGGAGGCTGAGGTGGGAGGATCACTTGAGCCTGGAGGTCGAGGCTGCAGTGAACCATAGCCATGCCACTCTGCTGTAACCTGGGAGAGAAAGCATGACCCTGTCTCAGAAAAAAAAAAGCTGGCAAACACAGGTAAACATAAGTGTTTCCCTGGGTTCTGTGAGCCATCATAGCAAATGGGCGCCTCCAATTTGTAGCCAAGTTAGAAGTGTGGGTAACCTAGGGACTCACTAGCTGCAATTGGCATCTGAAGTTTGGGGGCAGTTTTGTGGGACTGAGCCCTTAACCTGTGGCATCTGCAGTCACTCCAGGTAGTTAGTGTCATAATTAAATTGTGATACACCTAGTTGGTGTCAAAAGAGTTGGAGGATTCTTCGGGGTAGAATAAGCCCTGAGACATTTTGAGTCAGAAGGGTTGAGTGTAGTAGAGCAAAACAGTGTGTGTTTGTGTCCTGTTTAAGCTCCCAGGTGATTTTAGCGTGCAGCTAAGACTGAGAGCTGTCTTGAGGATATGAAGTCGCTACTTTTCAGGTCCTCATCATTCTGGTCAGTCTCTTTTCTCAGATGCAAGTCCCCACTTTTGTTGAGATTTTCTCTTTTTGATGGCATGGACCATTTTCAGAGGCTGACCAAGCTTACCTTCTGCCACGTGGGCTACACCTCTGCCTACACCCTGGGCTTCAAGTCCCACCTGGAGGTGAGGAGCTGGGGCCTCTTGGCTTACTTGTGGTTTCCTATCTCCTCACTTCCTTGAGGAGTGCTGCCCAGCCTTTAGAGAGAGGGTCCTTCCTTGTTTTCAAAAGTGGCTGTATTGTCTTTCACACCCCTCTCTTCCTTCCTTCCTTCTCTCTTTCTTTTTGTATCTTTAAAAAAATCTCTTCCTGGGGTCTTATGAAGGAGATTTCAGCATGAGTTTAGTCCACATTCCTGAAATCTGGGGATTTTACTTTTTAACTTTATATATTTCTGTGTTATTTGAATTATTTTGCCACAAATACATTGCTCTTGTAATATTTTGTCAAATATTTTTACAAAAAGAAATTATATTAATAAAGCCTGTGTAATAACCTTGAAAATGTTTATGACATAATGCTAAAGGAAAAGGCAGGAGGATCACAACAATGTAAAACAGGATGTAAAAAAGGATCATGACAAAAAATGAACTTTATCCATAGAAGACAGGCTGGAATGGGCTGGGCACCATGGCTCACGCCTGTAATCCCAGCATTTTGGGAGGCCAAGGCAGGTGGATTGCTTGAGGCCAGTAGTTCGAGACCAGCTTGGCCAACATGGCAAAAACCTCATCTTTACTAAAAATTAAAAAATTAGCTTGGTGTGGTGGTGCACACCTGTAATCCCAACTACTCAGGAGGCTGAAGTAGGAGAATCACTTGAACCGGGCAGGCGGAGGTTACAGTGAGCTGAGATCGGGCCACTGCACTGCAGCCTGGTTTACAGAGTGAGACTCTGTCTCAAAGCAAAAAAAAAAACAAAAAAGAAATAGTGCTTATGCTTACGTGATGAGATAAATGCTTACTTATGTGTGGGAAAGTCTTTTGTTTTTTATGCATTTTTATTATATGTATATATATATTTTAAAGAGTACATTCTCCTTTTATAATGGGTGGTAAATCGAACCACTTATGTTGAATGAGTTTAGTCAACTGCAGAAGTTACATATCATAAGAAACAGTTTGTGGGAGACACCCAGGCTCAAAGGAGCTACTGGGGTGTATCCCAAGAAAGGTGTGACGGGAATGTGGTTATTGTTAGGACACAAATAACACTGTCAACTGTGGTTTTTTTTTTTTTTTTTTTTTGAGACGAACCAGACTGGAGTGCAGTGGTGTGATCTTGGCTCACTGCAACCTCTGCTTCCTGGGTCCAGGCAATTCTCCTGCCTTAGCCTCCTGAATAGCTGGGATTACAGGTGCCTGTCACCGTAACCGGCTAATTTTTTTTTTTTTTTTTTTTTAGTAGAGAGGGGGTTTCACTATGTTGGCCAGACTGGTCTTGAATTCCTGACCTGAGGTGATCTGCTTGCCTTGGCCTCCTGAAGTGCTGGGATTGCAGGTGTGACCCACCATGCTCGGCCTGTCAACTGTACGTTAATAAATAAGACATGAAACCTTAGTTTAGCACACAGTTGTTTACCTCCATTCCCCCTTTTCTCCATCAAGCCTACCTTGTATTTGTTTAGGCAGCCACCTTTCAACAACCCATGAAGTGTCTGGAGCTCCACCCTCTGCTCAAGAGGAACGGCACATGACCCAGGTCTCTTGCCAATCAGCATTTCACATTCCTCATGATCGGTTCAAAGGTGAGCAAGTAATTGAAGTCAGTTAAATTAGTGCCACTGCAAGAGGCTCTTTCCCCCACCCCAGTATTGCCATGGTTTTAATATAGTTTATCCACACAAAACTCACATTGAGGCTTGGACTCCAGTGTGGCAGTATTGGGAGATGGTGCCTTTAAGAGGTGATTAGATTGTTAAGAGGGATGAATGCCTTACTCTTGCAGTGAGTTCTTGTTCTCTTGGTTCTGGATTAGTTCCCATGAGAGTGGGTTGTTATAAAGCAAGGCTGCCTCTTGCATTTGGTCTCTTTTGCTTGCCCTTCTACTTTTCTGACACACTGCAATGCAGCAGGAGGCCCTCACCAGATGCAACTGCCTGATCTTGAACGTCCCGTCTCTAGAACTGTGAGCCTAATAAACCTCTTTCCTTTATAAATTATCCAGTCTCAGGTATATTGTTATAGCAACAGGAAAAGGATTAAGATATATGTTGTACTTGAACCTTAATGTACTTGAACTTGAAACTTGATGACTGCAGCAGCTATAGCCATCTTACTTCCATGTGAAGCCTGAGAATTAAGCAACACATGGAAGGGAACACATCATTTGGGCCCCAATTTGGCCATGAGCTGCCCTTAGATTTTTTTTAGTTATGTGAGCCAATACATTTCCTAAAACAGGTAAAATTATGTTTTTAGACACTGATAACCAAAACAGTACAAACTATGCTTATGGAGATTTGCTTTAAAAAGGAGAACTAGAGAGAGAGAATTTGTTGCCTTTTGACCAATGCTTCCTTGAGAGAGCTGATATTCTGATTCCTGACCTCAACCACTATTTGATCAGCAGATGTACGCTTATGCACTGCACAATGACATTTTGGTCAATGATGGGCACTTGAGCCCAGGAGGTCAAAGCTGCAGTGAGTTGTCATTGTGCCACTGCACTCTAACAGAGTGAGACCCTGTCTCAAAAAAAAAAAAAAAAAATTGGCCAAGCGCAGTGGCTCACGCCTATAATCAATCCCAGCACTTTGGGAGGCCAAGGAGGGCAGATCACGAGGTCAAGAGATAGCGACCATCCTGGCTAACATGGTGAAACCCTGTCTCTACTAAAAATACAAAAAATTAGCCAGACGTGGTGGCAGGTGCCTGTAGTCCCAGCTACTCAGGAGGCTGAGGCAGGAGAATGGCGTGAACCCAGGAAGCGGAGCTTGCAGTGGGCTGAGATTGCACCACTGCACTCCAGCCTGGGTGACAGAGTGAGACTCCGTCTCAAAAAAAAAAAAAATTATACATCTTTTCTATGCTTAGATGTGTTTAGATACACAAATACTATTGTGTCACAATTGCCTACAGTATTGAGTACAGTAACATGCTGTGCAGGTTTGTAGCCTAGAAACAATAGCCTCTACCATATAGGTTAGGTGTGTAGTAGGCTAAGCCATCTAGGTTTGTGTAGGTATACTCTATGATATTTGAACAATGACAAAATCACTTAATGATGCATTTCTCAAAACATGTCCTCATCTTTAAGTGATGCATGACTGTGTATCTCCCCTGAAGAAATAGCCATTCATTTGATTAGCCTAGTTTGATGAAACTATCTCATCATGAAACCCAACTCCTATTTCTGATTCCAGGTTTACCAAGCTGTCTTCTGATCTGTGGTTTAGCCCTTTGACTGCACTGATTATCAGGCAGGCACCCTCCCATTATGCGTGAACACACTGGCATTACATTTGTTCAGTCAGCCTTTCGCAAGTTTGTTTAACCAATTAGTTGCTAGAGCATGCATGTAATAGAAACCTTGAGATTCTGGCTTCAAAACTGAGAACAGTCCCAGCTCCATGATGACCCACTGTAATATGGAAGAGCCAACTAAGTTGAGACTCTTTTTTTTTTTTTTTTTTTTTGAGACGGAGTCTCGGCTCTGTAGCCCGGGCTGGAGTGCGGTGGCCGGATCTCAGCTCACTGCAAGCTCCGCCTCCCGGGTTGACGCCATTCTCCTGCCTCAGCCTCCCAAGTAACTGGGACTACAGGCGCCCGCCACCTCGCCCGGCTAGTTTTTTGTATTTTTTAGTAGAGACGGGGTTTCACCGTGTTAGCCAGGATGGTCTCGATCTTCTGACCTCGTGATCCACCCGTCTCGGCCTCCCAAAGTGCTGGGATTACAGGCTTGAGCCACCGCGCCCGGCCGAGACTCTGTATCTTTCTTTAACTTCAACAAGGTCATTCACCTAAAAGGAGGACTAATAAAGACAGAGTATGCATGTTCGTTATGTGGTCCAGACAGTACGGGTGAGCCCTGGAACATGGTAGTCCTGGGTTTGTACAGCTACTGTTTTTGGTGTAGTCTTGGGCAGACCACCATCTCCGTAAGCCTCTATTTTGATTCTTCTACTCTAAAGTGGTAAAAATAACACTTTTTGCATGTGGTCATTGCAAAAACTAAAAGGAATGACATACATGAAGTCTAGGCAAAATAAAATAATAACTACTCAGAGGCAGATTTTCCATGAAGTTAATAAAGTTTCCTGGGCCCTAACAATGTGTTCACATAGTCCTTTGGTTTCATAAAAATTGTAAATTCAAGATATCTTTGCTATTCTTTTTTTTTTTTTTTTTTTTTTTTTAAGACAGGGGATCTCACTTTGTCACCCAGACTGTAGTGCAGAGGCATGATCTTGGCTCACCGCAATCCCCACCTTCCAGGCTCAAGCGATTCTCCTGCCTCAGCCTCCTGAGTAGCTGGGATTACAGGTGCATGCCACCACTGCCTGGCTAATTTTTGTATTTTTAGTAGAGACAGGTTTTCACTGTGTTGGCCAGGCTGGTCTCACAACTCCTGACCTCAAGTGATCCACCCACCTCGGCCTCCCAAAGTGCTAGGATTTACAGGCATGAGCCACCACATCCAGCCGATTTTTCTTAAATCAAGTCCCCCGAATCTTGTACTGGTATTATTTCATTTTCATGATCTCATTTAAACCTCACAACAATACTATGAAATAGCTATGGTTGTTACCATTTTACAAATGAGAAAATTGAGGCTTATGGATATTAAGTAACTTTTCTAAGATCATACTATGAGTGGTAGAGCCAAGATTCAAACCGAGGTGGGCTGCATCCAGAGACTGTCCAGGGTCCACGTCTTAATCACTCACCTGGTTTCCTAAATGTGCCTGTACTGAAGAGTCACCAAGGGGCACTTATTAAAGCACAGATTCCAGGGTCCACCTCAAAGATAGCAAATCAGGGTCCCTAGGGCAGGGACCTAGTTTCTGTGGAGGTTTCCAGTCATGAGCCTCTGCTCCAGTGAGCTGTATTTGCCTGTCTCTCCAATCTTGGGGGCAGCAGTTTTTCCTGTGTCCTCACCTTTCTTACAGATGCAAGAAGAGTTGTTGATTTTTCAACCTGTCCTGCTTTGTAGTTGCTATTAAGATAGAATGGCAACTTCCAAGCTCCTTACGTGCAGAAGCAGAAACCAGAGGTCCTATCCAAAATAGTTTTAAATTGTATTGACCATACACAAAAGTAGAGCAATGTGCTGAATCCCTGTGTATCCATCACCTAGGTTCAACAATTATTATAATTTTGCTAATTTTGAGAAGCAGTTTAAAAATTCAGAGACCAGTTCTTAACAGTTGAAAAAAACAGAGAGTTAAAATAGTCATTCAAATAATTTGGGAAATGAAATTAATTATTTTTAAGTAGATTACCTAAATGATTTGTGCAAGAGCTTACAAATAGCATAAAACAAAAACCCAATAATGTTAACTACTTTGGTAGCTCTTTTGTGTAATATCACTTTACTCAAATCCCCCCCAATACTCTATTATGTGAAGAGAAATCTGTTTTTTATTACATTTCCTTCTGAAACTCAGAGAGCAAAACAGTCCAATTCAATCACCAAACTTGTGGAGTCCACAGGGCGTTCCCTTGTGCTACAGGAGACCAGAAAGGAGTTGTAAAGCTTAGCCACAGTTATTTGGAAGACTTTATTGGGAAAGTGGTGTTTGAGTGGCATCTATTAAGAGTAGACTTTATGTCTAAAGCAGATGTGGAAGGGGCAGAATTTCAGGTTGAGGGAACTTCATGTACACAGATGGGAGAGAAGGTGTAGAGTTTGGGGGTGTGGTTACATAATAGTGTTTGTGATGGAAGGGTAATTTAAGAGCTGGATGAATCTTAAAGGTGACATCATGGAGCAAAGGTTAAAGGCATAGGTTCTGCTGGCAGACAGACCTGTCTGGTTACCTCCTGCCTCAGGTGGCAGTGCTGATTGCCAACCTAAGAGCCATTCCCAATGTGTGTTCCTTAGTGGTAGAGCTGCCTTCCTCTCTAAAGGCTGGAAATGCTAGATTCTCATTTACCAGCCTCCTTTGCAGCTAGGGGATGGACATGTAATCCAAGTCTGGCCAAAAGGACCTGAAGGGAAATCTGAAGGGGAGTTCTAGAAATAGTTTCCTCCCTAATCAAAAAAAGACACTATAGCAAAAACTTCTTTTTGCCTCTGAACATAGCTGTGTGACGGTGTGAGCACTGGAGCTATGGCAGCCAACCTGTAACCATGAGGACAAGCTGCTGATGAAAGCCAAGGTGCTGAGGCTAACAGAGGAGATAATATAAAATATTTAGTGCTTGATGACATCATTATGCCACTCTACTTATGCGACTGTTTGTTTGGAACATCAGATTGTGTAAAATGATGCATTTTCCTCATTATTTAGGCCATTTTGATTTGCATAACCCCTGGGTTAATATCAGCCCAGAAAGTAGAAAAGAAAAACAATAATTTTATATATATATATATATATATATTTTTTTTTTTTTTCCTGAGACAACAAGGCCTGAGGTGCAGTTCAGTGGTGTGATCTCAGCTCACTGCAACCTCCGCCTCCCAGGTTCAAGCAATTCTCCTGCCTCAGCCTCCCAAGTAGCTGAGATTACAGGCATGTGCCACCATGCCTAGCTAATTTTTGTATTTTTAGTAGAGACGGGGTTTCACCATGTTGGCCAGGCT